ACAGAGCCACACTTAGGTTTTTGCAAACACATAGCCAGCCAGGACTATGCAGTTCTGTAGGTGATTGACATTTGACATGATCAGCCATCCAGGCTTGGAGAGCAGAAATCTATACCAGGTACAAGAAGTCATCTGCACTGTAGGATGAAGAGATGGGAAGCATGGGTGTACACAATTACTTAGACCGCTATGGGGACATCCAGGAGAGAGAAAAGATGGAGGAGCAAGCTTCACTGCCCTGTGAATTTTGTTTCTCTACTTAATTAGGTATGTGTGTGTACACACACACACACACACACACACACACACACACACACACACACACAAAGAAAGATGGAGCCTTCTGTGGCATGTTGGGGAGGCTTGGTCTCTAGATATGAGAAGAGGGAACGCTACAAAGGTAGATGGAGAGCCAAAACCAGTGGCTGAGGAACAACCCTGAGGCATACAGGTAGATCTTTTCATATCCCTGCCCACACTCTCCTAACACAGGGCCCTGGCATGCATACGATTTTTTCCACGCTATCAGGAAAGGTTAAGAAAAGAGAGGATAGAGGGCGATGTATGATGGAACTAGAAGTAAGATGAGGGAAAAATAAGATGAATCCAGAAAGTGTACATCTGGATCCTCCTCGGCAGCTATCGTAGGAGGTGACAAAGAGCATGGGTCCTCCATGAGGAGCGTTCTGTTCTCTGGGATGTCAAAAGAGAGTAGTGGTGGGCTGACAGAGTCACTGGAGAAGATTCAGCTGACAGACATTGATGAGAAGTCCTGGCACAGGTTAGGAACATCCAGAAAAGCCTCCAGGGCTTTCACTTTTACTAATCACAAAGGGGAAAAAAAAATTCTTAGAGGCATGGCAAAATTCCTAAATCAGCACAAATGAGCAGGTAGGTGCCATGTCATTCCCCAATCAAGGCTGTTGATAGTGCATGCCTTTCCTTTAAGGGAAAAAAAATCTCTGAAAGAGAGAAACAGAGAGATGGAGATGGGACTATCTATCCTCTCTCTATCAAAGTGCCCAAATGACGGTTTCACAGGAAAAAGCTACAAGACTTGCCAGAAGATCTGAGTTGCAGTGAACGTTAGTGTTTGGCGCAGAAGCAGCAGCAAGAGACAGCTGTGTTTCCCTGCTGAGGTCCCATTTGTCATGTGCGTCGATTCCTCTCGCATCTACGCTCTCTGATGGGTTTATGTGGCCTGTGATTAATGACACTTAGACATTGACCTGGTCGTATTGTCGTGATAGACAGTGCCTTTCTACTCACATGCCGGCTGTTGAAGCTGTCCATGAAAGACAAGCCCCTCTGCTGCTCGCTGGCCCTGCAGGCCACTGTCATTGTCCACTCTTTCTGCTAGCAGTTCCTTCTTGAGCTGAGATGAAACTCTGCAAAGTGAGGAAATTGACAGGCATCCCCACAGCCCAATAGACCACTAGAGGAACATGATGAAACTCTGAGCCATAAAGTTTACTTCGATCACATCGCCTTTCTAACTAAATATATAATGTTTGATCACAATGGTGTGGCATAGAGAAAAGAAAGTTGACTGCCAACATTTCTAAGTCTATGACCTCAGACAAGTTAATACACGCCTGCAAAATGGAAACAAGAGCTCCAGAAACTAGAGTGTGGGGGACAACTAGAATGAAATTATGTCATGTTTCACTGTCTGGAATACATTGGGTTTCTGCCCTACCCTCACAATTGTGATGGAGTTCACTGCTCTACCAATGATCTTAAGCCTTGTTTCCGGGCAGCTGTTTGTATGTCTCTAAAACTGAGGTATCTTCTGCACGGGTAAGGCTGACTTGATAGAGATATTTGAGCTGTAAGGAAGCATTTGACAGTTAAAAAGATCAGAGATGGAGTTCCAGACACACATTAAAGGAGAGTCGTTTAGATGGTTAACATGGAAAGGCATGGAGGTAGAAGGTGAACTGAGAAGAAAGGCTGGGTCAGACAGAAGCAGGGAGAACTCCCCACACCCCTGGCACTTCTTCCAAAGTGGTTACCAGACCAATACCCCTCACCTCTCTCCTCCTCCTTCCCCTTCTTCTACAACATCAGTTAACATCCACCTGTTACAGGAGCAGGTACCTGTGGGGCAGGAGGCCCCAGAGTCTGTCCTCCTTGGACAAGCTGAAGCAGCTTGCTTGGTGGCCTGGGCTCTCCAGAGTGCACCTCTAGGATCAGGTGTTTTTCTCCAGGTGTTTGCCAGAGGGGAGATCATGAAAAATCAACACCAATCAGGGCCATCTCCTTGGAAGCCCAAATTATCTCACAGGCAGATCAGAGCAGGTGCAAGGCTATTTTGGGCTAGCAATCACTGCGTGCAGAGGAGGATGCATCGCTCCTGCTCTCCAACGAGGCAGCAGCCTAGAAAGCATCAATTACTGAGAGCTGCTTCCAGCTTATTACGTCGCCTCCAGCACAAAACAGAACTGTGCCTGGCAGGGTCAGTGCGGACCCGAGTGAGGTCTTCTTTCAAACTGATGAAATGATAGGGACTCAGCTTTCTGGTCTAAAGAAGAGCTTCTCTCGCAGGATAAAGTTCATATTTCTTAGTTTGGAATTCAAAGTTTCTGCGATTCTAAGCTCCGGGTAGCCTGGGTTCGCCAACACAGACACTAGGACTCCTCAAAAGGTGGCTTCATTTTAGCTCAATAAACTAAATCTGCCACTGGCCTTGGCCCAAACTCCTATTCTTCTTTTCCCAAGAAAAATTCTTCCATGTGGCTTTCAAGTTCTGAAAATGAGGAACGCTTCCTTGCCTCAGGAACAGTCCAGCCCCCACATGTCTCTCCCTTTCCCGGTTCCCTGCCACTATCACAATCACAGAAGCCAGCAGCGTGATAGCCCTGAAGGGTCTTCGCTGTCAGTGATGACTGCCTTAATGTCCTGTGTATACATCTCTAAAGAATGGACAGGGATCCGGGCCTGACTTTTTCAGGTCTGCCCTCTTCCTTGGAATAGTAAAGGTGCTGAAGTACCATTCATTCCACCCATCTTCCTAGCCACCTCTTCCTACCCTTGAAATCAGCGCTAGCCACCCAAACTACCAAATCCTAGTTACCTGAATAGACAGCAGCACCCTGTCTCCTAAGGGCTCTGGAAACTCCTCTTATCCTCTCATAGTCTGTTCCCGAAGATGGGCCCCGCCCTACTCATGTGCCCCTCCTGTCTGAAGGGCAAACTGGGATCTCTGTGTGTGTTCTGTTTGCTTAAAGGCTCTTCGGCTGGTGGTCTGGTTGCCAAGGGAAGAAAACACTTGCATTGTAAACTGAGTTATTAAAATAGGTACCCGCCATTCTTGCCTGTGAGAAACCAACAATCTGAAAACACATCACACAGAGAGAAAGGGCGTTTGAAAAGACAAGAACAAAGAGTTAGCACCATATGAAAATAGCCCTCTAAACACTCTAACCAGGGAGGGAGACTTTGGACTGTCACATGTAGAAAGCTGGCTGAAAGCAAATTCCCCTCTTGTCTCCCTCACCAGAACCCCTAATACCTCCACTTCTTTTCCCTAAATACTCCTTCCATTCCAAAACTTAAACCTTCAAAAATTGAAATTGAATCCAAAGATCAGCATCCATATCCAGTGCTCATTCCTGTCTCTGGAACTGGGTATCACACTGTGTCATTCCCATTAGACCACCCACCTGGAGGCCCTGTTTGCATCCTCTTAAGGCCTGAGACTAGATAGTGATCCGGGTCTTTTCCCTAAAGGAGACACCTGCATTGTGGTCATTGTGTGTTTCCCATCCCTTATTAGAGGATAAGCCCCTTAATAGTAGAGACCGCATCTCATTCACCCCTTGATGGCCAAAGGACACAGTGCAATGCCTTTGGTTATAAAAGAACAGGCTTTTACTAACAAAGTGAGCAAACTATTATTTTATCTCTAGGACTTGGCAGCCCACGGACACATTGATATCAATAACTGGTTTTTCGCCCCACACAGTTCCACCTACACACTCAGATAACCTGAAACACATTGACTCTGTGAGAATTAGGAAGGAAAAGGATAGATAGATAGATAGATAGATAGATAGATAGATAGATAGATAGATATAGATAGATACTTACATAGTTATATATGTATATATAATATATATCTATAGTTATATACATATCTATAAATATTGAATAGGGTCTACAACAAAGCCCTAATTTAAAAAAAAAAAAGAAAAGAAAAAGCATAGATAGGATGACTTAAAACTTCAAGGTTTTGGCAAGAATTGCTTTGCTACATGAAGATACACCTAAAAGTCCCCAGAGCTCCAGGCTCTGTCCTAAGAGCCACAGTGAACACATAGCCACAGCTGCCCACTAAGCTTTTACTTCTTCTCTTTGTGTAGACAGAGATTCTATGTAGGATATTACTTGCAAAAGTCTTCCAAGAATTAAACATATTTGAAAACTACTAGATTGTAACAAAGTTTCTTAAATGCTGATCCATGGAATAAAATATTATCTCATGTCCATTTTCTCCTGTAGAGTGCTCTTGATCTGCTCTAAAAATGCATTAGACTAAAAACTTGAGCTAAGATTTGGCCATCAGATGTCCTCTACTGAGCCATGGAAGGAAGCCTCTGGAGGCCTTAGTGCCTGAGGCACCCCACTCCCTTGTCAGTATCTTCATTACTATGACTGAACATGTGAGAGTGAGCAGAGGTCTTAGCACCTCCCTGGTCTTTGAGGGGGAAGCAATCAACTACTGATTACAGACAGACAAGGTGATGGTTCAAGGATGTAACTAGACATGAGTGCAGAGACTTGTTCTCTATGAAGTCTTTTCATAGTTGGGACATCAGCCACTCTCAAGGAGGATCAGGTTCTATCCCCAGCAGACAGAACTTGCCTTTCCCTGGAGGCAGGTCATCACCTTTTGCCTCCTCACTATCCTGGTACTGCTGATAAACTTCGAATAACTTCAAAAGGCAGTAGCCTTGAACTCCAATCCAAATCTCTAACCCCCTCCTGCTCCAGCTTACCTGCCTCAGGTATGGGCTTGATGGGGCTACTATCCCCAAGCCTGCAGTGGAATTGCCGTGTGGGGTGGGAGCGCACAGTGGGACACCAGCTCAAGGGTCCAGCTGAATGGGGTCTGTCCAGCCAGGGGCTGTTCTGCCCGCTCACAGCCATCCTGTCTGCCCTTGCCTGCCCTCCCCTGCCCTCCTACCCCCACCAAATCAAGAATGTTGTATTTCTCAAACCCCATTTCACAGCTATATTGTTTTATACGGCCCCTCCAAAATACCTTGAATAGTCCCTTTTTATCGCTCCCATTTTCTGAAAACTCCAGCTGCTCCTCTGAAACCATCCAAATCTAATTAACCACAGAAGCTGGGGTTGGGGAGAGTGGCTCCCTTTCGGGTCCTTAGCATACCCATTCAGGCCTTCTTTCAATATGGGCACAAAACCAGGAATTTCTAATAATTGTATCTATGGGCCGGGAAGGGGGAGAAAAAGAAAAAGCAAAAGAAAGCAAGCAAGCTGCTAATAAGTGGGTCTGTGAAAGGAAGGGGGTCAGCCTCTCGCATGAACTTGGCAGCCTGGCCCCGAGGAACTTGGAGACAATGCCACAGGGATCTAAAAGCTGAGCCTCCTGACTCAAATCTTGTGAGAACGTACCCAGGCTGTGAATAGAGATCAGAGTCTGGGCTCTAAATTGTCCCAGCTCAGACTCATTGAAATGTCTTCTCACAGGATTAAAAGAGAAGAGGGCCGGGGAAGTTTGCTGAATACCAATGAGGCTCTGCTTAGAAGTGCAAGATGGAGAAACTCAGATTTTATTCCTGAATGACATGGATTAAGACAAAAGAAACAAGTTGGGCCATTGCCAGGTGGCCCTGATAGGAAAGGGCCATGCTCCTCTGCCAGTCACCAGAGTGGAAACTACCTGGGTGAACGCCACTGTTGGGAAACCACCTGCTCGGGCCTCACATCTCTGTTAGCAGGTGCAAAGGGAGCCTTGGAGGGCGAGGAGCGTCAACGTGCTCGCTCCTCTGTGTTCCTGCCTCCCTGTGCTGCCTCCCCTCTCCTCCAACATCCTGCCCCAAAGAGCCAGGCACAGATAAACAACCATAGGCATTGCGTCGATTCCTTTGGCACCCCTGTGACCAAATACCTGAGCCAAGCAGCCTACGGGTCTATTTTGACTCACCGTTTCAGAGGCTGCATCCATAGACTCTGGGTCCACTGATCCTGGCAACACCACCGTGGCGTGCTTAGAGAGCCTTCTCTGACCGCAGACAGGTAGCAGGGAGAAACAAGAACCGGAGAAAGACAAGACACCCACCCCACCCCACCCCCGTGCTCACTTCCTCCAGGGAGACCCCGCCTCCTACAGCTTCTAGACTCTCCCAAAATAGTACCATCAGCTGGAGAGGAACCATTCACCACACAGTCCTGTGGAGGACGTTTCATATCCATATTGCGACACCCATTCTTTTCAGTCCTGTTCAAATGCAAGCCAGGCCCTCCTTGTTTCCGCTGAGCCCTTTGCTCTGACCCTGTGCTTCCGTGTCTCTGGAAACCGCACTCTCAGGGGATCAGCTTCATCTGGAAGAATGTTGATGGTCTTGCTGTTAAAAAAAAAAATCCTCAGGGGTGTACATACAATACAGACTAGGTGACACACTGTGTTTCAAACAGTGCTCGACGCCTAGTAAACACGGTATACTTCCTTATTTCTGTTATCAATGGTGGGCTAAACTGCCTCTACAAGAATGGGGAAGGGCTCCCTTTTAAACAGGAATTCACTCACTAGGCCTTACAGGTAAGCTTTTACCACAAAGCGCAGCCCCTAACTAATAAACCTTTCTCTGGTTGGTCACCCCTCTTCTCTACAAAGCCCCTAACTAATAAACCGTTCACTCATTGGTCACCCCTCTTCTCTACAAAGCCCCTAACTAATAAACCTTTCACTCATTGGTCACTGCTTTCTCTACAAAGCCCCTAACTAATAAACCTTTCACTCATTGGTCACCCCTCTTCTCTACAAAGCCCCTAACTAATAAACCTTTCACTCATTGGTCACTGCTTTCTCTACAAAGGCCCTAACTAATAAACCTTTCACTCACTGGTCACCTCTTTTCTCTTAGTGGTGATACTCTAAACCCAAGGGAGCCCCTTATATGTAGAGTAACAAATGGAACAGAATGATTCACAAGTCTTTGGGGCCATATAACCTTCTTCAGATTATGTCACCAGAAAATTAAGTCAAGGGGATTCCCTAAGTGAGGAATGCAGGGGGGGCTTCTCACCCCACTGCCTCCTCTGCTCCCTCCACCCACCTACCAGACTCCAGCACATGGACTTCTTCAATCTCCTAGATCTTATTCCTGGCCCCAGCTTTACACAGTTAGGATTAGCAAATTTGACTGCAGGCTCTGGTTCTGCCCTTTTTTAGCTCAATGACTTTGTCAACCCATCCCACTATGATAGTCTTCTAGTCTTGCCTTGGAAATGGTCAGTGTAGGAAGTTCTTGCTCTATATATCCTACAGACATTATGGAATCCAGTGGGATCCTGTGTATTATCTTTGTGGGTAACACCTCTCATTTCATTTAATCATTTGTTAAATACTTACTGTTTACTAGGAACTGTGCAAGGCCCTAGCAACATAAAAATAAACAAAACATCAGGCATGCACCCCATTTTTATGGAACTTGAAGGACACACATCATGAAACAAAACAGAGCACGTGACTTCTTCATCTTAGGATACTTCTTTGCTTTTTGCTTGGAGAAGACATTGAAGATGTGATTTAGTACAGGCCTGTACCACATCCTCAGGTCACTTGCAGCTCCTACTTTGATGTTCTTCTCCTGTGCTGTATAATTGATATTTGTGTGTGTGTGTGTGTGTGTGTGTGTGTGTGTGTGTGTAGAGGAGATACTGTCTTGGGTAGTTATAGTCACACAAAATCTACAAGGCCTGCATTCAAATCCCAGCTCTTCTTCCTACCTATATCAAGTAGCATGAGTGTAAACTGTTATTGCTCTTACTGATACTGTTGCTTGAAATTGCTGTTCCAGACCCATGGATGGACTCCCTTTTGCACATGAAGCACACATGAGTTTTCCAAGTAGCCCATGCAGGGTTGCAGCTGGAACGGGTGATCCCAGAAGCAGAGTAATCAAATGCACCTGGGCAATGCAGCAGCATCACCAAGGGGAGAGGCGTTCAGTGATAAAAGCAAATAAATTCCATCAGTATTGTCAGAGTCAGCGCCACCATAGCCTTTCTTTTCTAAAATCCATACCGTGAAGGTGCATGTACCCTTAAGCAGGAAGAGCTACTTCTCCTTTCTGGTGTCTGGACAAGGGCCTTGGCTTCTCTGGCCAGGGTCCTCAAGCCTCCTGTGCTCACTAGACACTGCTTTTGCCATGATCCATCCTTCACTGATCCAGAGCTTCCTTCCTGGTCTCCCTTCCCCTTTGTTCTCCTCCCCTTTGGTCTCTCCAGCAAGTGCTGGCTGGATCAGCCTCAGGAAAGATGATGAGCTGAGACTCCTCTCTGCCTATCCAGATAGCACCAGGTAAAGAAGCTACCTCGGAATATTCATGGAGCCAAAGACACTAAGGCACCACATGCTGAGGACCTTTGTGCTGCTGTTGTCACCTGCATTAAACCATTTGAAATAAGTGAGGCGAGGCATAGCCTCAGCAAACTGTTAGTTTAACAGCTGTCCCTCACTTTCTACATCTCTTTTCTGAATCATTCTTCCTCTTTTGGTGCTTTCTCCTAACCTACTCAGTGGCATCCCTGGGTGACCACGAACACCAGCTCTGGTTAGTTAGACACAGCTCTACCCACTACTCAGTAGCATCCTGGGTGACCAGGAACACCAGCTCTGGTTAGTTAGACATAGCTCTACCCACTACTCAGTAGTATCCTGGGTGACCACGAACACCAGCTCTGGTTAGTTAGACACAGCTCTACCTGCCAGAAGCTGTGTTTGAATCTCTTTCTCCTGCTTCCTTACCTATATACTTTCTCAGTGCCTGTCTCTTGTTGCAGGGAGAATTGACTCTGCTGGTAATGGCCTCTTACTTGTGGATGTCAAAGTACTCATGACTGCTAACAGAGTAAATCTGCTTCACTAGAGTAGCCTGGACCCTTCAAAACAAGAAATAAACCGGTGGGAGGGCAATTTAAGGACAAGGAAGGCCTAGTATGTGTTGGTACTTTTTCAAATCACAAGGCCTTCAAAGGCCCAGCATAAATGCGCGCACCGTGTAATATGTGATGCAGACAGCCAGTTGTCCAGCCATACGTTAACAAAGGAAGGTGCGGATTAGACTGGAAACTGTCTGCATTTTATGCTTTGGATCTGTAGCTCTCGTGCATTAAATTTTGTAACTTACCCTCCCCATTTCACAGTTGTGGAAACGGCAAGCCAGGAAGGGGAGATAATTTGCTCAAAGTCACACGGGGAGAGGAAAACATGTGTTTGTCAAAGAAATATAGAAGTCTATGATTTGGGGAAAACGACCACAATTTGATGTATGTGAGACAGAACAATGGTTCCCGTAGTATGGAGGAACACTGGCAAACTCTTACATCAATATACCTTTCCACTTTAGTTTTTGAATTCTCAGGTGCAAGCTGAGAATCTTTTGTGAATGCAAAGAATGACTACCTTCTCATTTTAAACAACACATTGATCGAATCAATGAACAAGTTGCCTGGAATGTCATCAGTCTGTGACTTAAATATTGTAGTGACCTTTGCCCTTGCAAAGGTCATGTTATCCCAGTGGTATATGTTGGATTTGGCTCCTACCAAGACCACTATATGCATCTTTCTTCAATTCTAACTTCAGTAACCAGAAGGTCATAGCTTGAAATCAGTCACAACCTAAGTATTCACCCAATGGAAATGAGCAAATGGTACAGATTGTTGTCATTGAGCCAATTTGCCAGCCTCCTTCCTTCCTTACAGGGGCTCTAATTTATCCTGACATCAGAGGCTACCTGGCTCAACTTTAGAGTCTCCAAGTTCAGGAACTGTAATCAGAACAAACTTTCACCTCTTTATCTACAGAGAGGTGCTGAAGGCTTACAGGTCTTTTTGATGAATCAAAGGCACATCATGAGCTCCTGGTCACCATCTGAGAAACAGAAGCATCTGGGTGGCTGTGATCTTTCATGTCCCTTTACTGCTCTATACATGGTCATTTCTCATT